TCCCCCACAGTGGGCGCTACTGGGTCGCCGGGGAGCCGTACCGAAGCTCGGGCAGGCGAGACGGGCAGGGATCCGGCTCCTGCCCCTGACTCCCTTCGCGAGGAAGGGCGGGGGAGAGGAACACCCAGATTGACTGGAAACGCTCGGCTGCCCGTGCACCCTGCCTCGTATGACGCTCGGGCGGGCCTCTAGCCGCGTTTGGCCGGTAATGTGCCTAATCCTGTCCGGGCGCTTGCTTGCTTTCTTTCGCTTCGCGGCGGCCGGAAAAGTTGCCGCTTCCGCGCGCGGGGAGCCGAGTCTTTCGCGTCGCCGCCCGGGATGGAGGGTGGAAAGCAAAGGCCGGCCAGACTTTCGACGCCGCTCCAGCTTTTCGTCTCCTTTCCTGGGTCCCCCCCCGTTGCTGCTGGGCTGTAAGCAGGGAAAGCTTGTCCTGCGGCCCTGGCAGGAAAAAGGGGTGCTGGGTATTCGGCATGCAAGCCGGAAAGAGGCCGCGGCTACTGCTTGGCCGGAATGCCTTCTGCCAGCTGTGCGAGGCAGATGTTGAGTGGCCCCTTCGGCTGCGGCCTCCGCCTGCTTCTCTTGTCACCTCGGCAACTTCGAAAGAATTGGCTTTTCGCGCGCGCACGCGCTGCGGAATTAAACTGAGCTGCTTCCTCGCAGCCCGGCTTGATCGCGCGCCCACGGGGCCCGCCTCCGGATCTGCTTTTTTGTGCAGGTTGGAGGCGTTTGTCAGACGCTGCTGCTGCCGCCGCCGCCGCCGCCGCCAGCCAGCGAGCCAGGTTGCTGCGTGAGGAGGCGGCGAGGAGCCCCGCGGTGTCGGGAGGACAGCGAGCGGTAGCAGAAGCGACCCGGGCCCCCCAATGGAGGAAGAGGAAGAGATAGTGGCTGCCGTTAGCGAGGAGTGGCAAGGTGTTGCGGAAAAGAGAAAGGCCTGGGCTAAATGCAGGGACTCCTGGCAAGCGTCGGAGGCCGAGTGCCTGTCTCCAGAACCAGCGGAACTGGCCCCCGAGCAGGAGCTCCGCAGCAGCAAGTTGCCCTTGACTGCGGAAGGAGGTCAGTCTCTTCGGCGACCCTTCTCGCTTGCTCCGCTCCCAAGCCCGTTTCCACGGATAGCGACGTGCTCTTGGAAAAGCAAAGAGCCTTGTGACACCTGAAAGGCTAACAGATTTATAGCGAGCGCTTCCCGCACTCTCGTGCACGCGTTGAGGATTGCGTTTCTGGCGTTCGATGACGTCCGCCGAAGTTTATAGCTCAGGAAATCAGCTAGCCTTTCACATGCCAGAAGACTTTGCCTGCTTCTGTCGGGACAAATCCGGGGCAGGGTGGGAGAGTTTCCAGGCACTTCAGTCGAAACCACACTTGAAGGGCTGGTCTACCCTTTTTCTTACGGGAAAGTAAGCAGAGGGTTGCTTCCCACAAACTTGCCATGGTTAGGCTGGCTTATAAAATATATTTGCTAAGAAGAACGCTCTTCTGCTTGCTGCACAGTATTGATCAAGTGTGCTCACTGCATTGAATTGAATTGGTTTCACTCCCTGAAGATATTTATATATTATTATACGTCGTACATTTTCAATGCTTAATTACACATTTCTGCCATTTTCTTGTTCCTGAAAAATTATGAATTATTGCAGCTTGTCTCTTCCCTTGCTCCCAAATGATGTGCATTGATTTGCATGCAAGTCATTTAGTTAGTTAAGATTCTGTGCGGCCTTTTTAAAAAATTGCCTTGTTTGTCAACTAATTCTTTTCCTTTGATTTGTTTTGCTCTGCTGCCCTCCCTCTGTCCTGCAGGCACTATTCCAAATGAAAAGATTGCAATTTGGCTTAAAGATTGTAGGTAAGCATTTCTTGTGAAGAGTTGTGCAATTATTAAATATGCTTTTTTCAGCTTTAAGCAAAGATTGTTGGTCTTGATTCCTGGAAAGTCCATGGGTGGAACATAACACTTCATTGTGACTAGAATGTTGCAGAAGCAGCTTTGTGTTTTGTGATTCTGTGTGTGTGCGAAAGAGAGAGGAGGAGAAAACAAAAAAAAACTGCTCGGGCAGTGCCATTGGGACTATATTGTTCAGTAAATAGCAGCTGTTTTCCAGGGTTTAAAGGTTTTGTGTTCATAAGGTTTCTAGCTCATTGTAAATAGAAGTGTTTTCTGGAAATATAATATTAATAGGAACAAAAGAAATATTGTTGATCACTTCTCTGCTTTTTCAGAACTGCAATCCTAAATACTTCTATCAGGAAGGAAGCTCCATTGCAACCAGTTGGGTTTCCTTCTATGTTAGTGAGCAAGTTTTAAGTTAAGAGAACTTGTGTTTCTTCACTTCTAAGTAAACATATCTTAGATGACATAATCTGTTTTATGTGTCAGAGGTGTTTAAGAAGTTCAGTTCATATTCATAACTAATGAAGTTTATTAGAATAATGATTGCAGTATCATGATGCTGGAGCAAACTTTTATCTAAGGAGCAATTTAATGCAGTGATTGGTGCTGGATTTAAAATAGAAAGCTCCACATTCATCTCTCTGCAAAACTGGTTAATCTTGGTTCTTACCCTAGCTTACAGGGTTACCAAAAAGATAAAAGGGGAAGGGCAGATATGCTGTCCTAGGGTCACTAATGAAAATGTCATAAAAACTGTTATTCTGCTGTGTGCTGTTTAAACTACGTGCAGTATTTTAGAAGGCCATGCCTTTTTTTAAAGTAAACTTTTCATTTTTCTAATTAAAGGGTTAACTGTAAAAACAAACCTGAGCAAATCAGGAAAAGATAGTAGAAATGAATCATTTATTTTAGGTGAAATCATAGTATATTTGCAGGTTGGGGTTATTTTTATAGAGTCTAAACAAGTTTAATACTGATAGTCTTTCTCCTTTCTCATTCTGCAATAACTTTTAAGCACAGATGCAGAAAACATTTCTGATTACACTGCAGAATGTATTTGTGGTTGAGAAACTAACATAGAAAAAGAATACTTTTTTCCCGATAAGTTACCTATGTTTTTTGGTGGCCGCACTTAATATTTCTTCGGAGAGTGGATGTGAAGGCTGCCATAAAGCAGCCATGCAAAATGGACAGAGCCAAGAGTAGAGCTAAATAACTTGTTTCTCTCTGGGTTTGGGAGGGTGGGTTAGGAGGGTCTTTTAAAAAAAAAAACTTTAACTTATTTTTGTACTTTCATGATAGTTTCCTTTCATGCTCCGTCTCAAAATGGTATGCCATTGATTTTTAGCAGTTATAATCAGAGAGGACTCTTGTTCACCCCTGTTTGTTTTAAGTAGTAAATTCATTGAAGCTATTTTTATTATCAGCCAAGATCCAAAGAAGAATACAGCTAATGCTGAATTCCAGCTCAGACAGCAATTTTCCATTTCAGCATTGAAACTGAAGGAACTTTAAAGTGTTGATGATAGTAGCTCCTGGTGATTTCTTGCTCAGGGAAAATTATTCTAACATTCTAAATATTTTGGATGAGTCTTAAGTAGTTCTTTGGGTACTGGTTGTTGTTGTTGTTATTATTATTATTATTATTACCATTATTTTTAATATTCCAATCTTATGCCACCTCTGCTGGAAGGGGAGAAGTTTACCCGGTGGGCATAACAGCAGTGCAGGGAACTGCCAGCAGAGATAGCATCAAATTGCAGTTTAAGGCAGCCCTTAATTCTAGAAAATTAATCCCATGTTTTTCAGTTGAAATGTGAGTATGGCATCTGAGGGAATATGTAGCAGCAGGATAGAGAGTGTCCTTCACAGTTTTTTTTGCAGATTGAAAACAAAACAACTTCTGTGTTTCCAACAATCCTTGGTGTTTTATTTAATACAGATTGTTGCAGATTTCTACCCAATAAAAGCACCCACCTCTGTTGTTGCCATATTTGGAATCTCTGTTGAATATAGGATAGATATTACTGCTTCCCATCCCAGAATGGCTTGGGTGGGAATAAAATCAGTCTTACCTTTGGGTTAAAAAGGATATTTTCTACTATAGCCCCTGGAAAAAGAGGTCTGTGTTTTGTTTTGTTTTGTTTTGTTTTGTTTTTCTTTTTGGAGGAAACTATTTCTATAACATTAACTGAGACAAGGGTGCTGTGTTATCAGGTTCAAGAAAAACAAAATGAAACTGCTTAAAGACTTCGCAGAGAAATAATCTAGAAACCTTGAAAAACTTGAAAATCAACTTCTTTTATTTTTTTATTTTTCAAATTCAGAACTGGATAATCTTGTTTTTGCAGAATTCCTGTACAGTATATGGTAACTGATATGATCAATCTCTCAGTTTTGTGTTTATCCAGAGCTTTTATAAATGTGTTGTAATCTTTATATACATTTTGCCCGTTTTGATGTCTTGCTATTTGTATTTATACAATATAAATCTTTTATAGAAGTCATTCATGAAAAATAGAAATTCATATACAATCTACAAAGGCATCTAAGTATGATGTTTGAAATTTAGCACTTCCTCATTCAAATCCCAGTATGAAAAATTCCAGTTTGTTTGGAAGTGAGGCTTCTGCTTTAATTTCAGCAGTGCCGTGAGCAAACACTTGGCATGAAAAATGTCCTGCCAAATTAGCAGTATTAGCTGTTAGCTAAGCTGGGTTCTTAGCAGACCCAGTGAATGATCTGTGAGGAGATGATGTGGCTTTGATGAAGCATCCAACAGTTTGGATCAAATTGAGTTTTGTGAATATAAGGCCCCTAGGAACCCCATTTAAGATCAGGCATTAACTGTCATGCATATGTCTTTAAAAGCTTTCTTAATAAATAGGAACTAAAACTACTTTTCTGATTCTAGCATGGTGTAAGCCACCCTGGAAAAACCTGGTTTTGAAAGGTTTCCCTCAAATTTGTAAAATAATCAGGTAATCAATCAGGAGTTGGTAAGCGTTGCTCCGATAAAGAACTTATCTTTTTGTTTTAGGATGCTATTTAATTGTCTGGTCTCAAACAAGGCTGCATGATTCAGACAGAAGAATCCAGAATTTAAAAAGACTTCTTAGCATTTGCGAGGGAGTGACAGCTTAGAATTTAAATCTGGTATATCTCACCAATTGTAAACTGTAGTATCATCCAGAATGTGAATGAGAAAGAGGAGGAAAATTGCATTTTAGTTTCTGATGATTTGCTGGCTCCTTTGAAAGATCATTCACTTTTTCACTGAGTGAAAAACTTGGTAGATGAGTAGGCTTGTCTTCTCTATATGGTCCTGTTATATAAATGACAAGTTCTTTCTAGAGAGAACTTGTTCTTGCTCTCCGGGCATTTTGCTTGTCTGCAGATTTTTTGTACAGAATCTCCTTTGATTTTTAAGGACTTCCTGGAGCATCTTTAAATGAACAAGGTGAATAGGAAGAGGCACAGTTTCAAAGGCCAGTTCTCAAAGTAGCACTTTTTGTGTGCTAAATCAAGTACTTGGTAGATAACTCCTGAATCTGTCAATCTAATTCAATGTGGCATAGCTTTCCTCTGCCAGTCTTCCCTAGCTTGGTGTCCTCCAGATATCTTGTGTGACAGGATGGACATTAGTTCTGCTTCGTAAGGACGATGGGGACTGTAGTGTCACACAGATGGAAGGGAATCAAGTGGAGTGTGGGGAAAGCTCTTCCATGCTAGTTTATCAAAGACAGAAATTGCCTGTGTGATAGACAGTGGTAGTGCTTTTAGTCCAACAGATGCCTGCAAAATGCACATTAGCACATGAAGAAGATAAGAAAGCAAGAGTCTGCCACATGTTTGTTTGTTTTATGGCACAGCTAATTTTCATACTTTGTGCTAAATACAATAATTTGGTTCAGCCATGTATCCTGTTTTGAAGCTGTATATAGGTTCTTGGTACTTGAAAAGCACAACATAGGCATAGTCTCAGTACACTTGTTCCACCCTGAGTGGTAAAGGAGGCCTTGGTGAGACTGTTTGAGTTTTTGTTCTTGAAATTATTTTAAAGTTCTCAGTACAGGAGTTATTCTAAAGCTTAAGTCCTTTGATATTTTATCTTTCTGAGATTGTATGATACAACTTCAATTTGTTATTATGCCTGTTCAGTCAGAAA